TAAAATTGCACCTGGAATTGTTACTACAAGGATTTGTTTTCAGACTTCAATTGGAGTTGTAAGATTCACCCTAAAAGCTCCTACAAATAGATGCAAAAGTTACGTTTTTAATACTATTGTAAAGAAAATGGACTTGTCAGAAGAAGCTTATCAAAATAGTACCTAATAAAATACTTAGTACTGTTTTCTCAATGCTTTTTTAGCATTGGCGAGTTTATTACAGGAGTGGTTTTGGAGTGGTTCTTGACTTATTATAAAACATAATATTCCTGCTTTTTATATAGTAGATCATTTGATACATCTGTCCATAAAACCAACGGAACTCAAATTCCTGATGAATAAACCATACACGTTAGTAACTTTTGACTTGCTCTATTTATATTGTGCTTAAGAATGCTCCAGTAGTATCAAAAACCTTCTCATCTTCCTGTGAGCCATGTGAAAATGAGTAGTCTCATACATGCAAGAAAGTAAAAAGTTATCTTAAAAGAAATGCTTTGTTAATAAACTTGTAAGCACCAGTTCTCAAAGTAGCTAACATTGCATGGAATAATATAAGGATGTTATGATAAAGTTACTATAGACTAAATATGAACTTTCAGGGAAGCTATCTGTAAAATACTGGTCCTATATAAAAGGTATAAGCTATAAATAGAGGAACAGATGGTATTTTTGATCTGGTCTATTTAGAGCAGCAGAAGTTCTCTGAAAATATCTTTAGAAGTGAGTGAGAATTAGGGAGAATAACTTGAGTATCATTCTAAATGCTGCCTGTTAACCAGATGGTGAAGCTGCTGAGGCATGTTATGCTGACTCCTTGCTCTTGAAGCAGTCAGCAGGGGTGAGGGTGCTGCAGAAACACATCTTGCGTAATAACCAATTATCTGACAGTAGTTATTTTCTCTAGTTTGGAAATGCTGCTAGGTTCTTGTTTCTCAGTAGCTGTCAACTATATCATTGCCAGTTTGATCATAAATGACAATTTAAAAGAAATGCCTACATTTCATAAAAATTCTCCCTTCACTATCCATCTCTTTCCCCTTAAAAATATAGGAAACTGAGACTTGAATGAATTCCATGGAAGAGGGTATTTACTGCTTTGCACAATAGAGAAAACACAATTTTTTAGAATCCATGAGCTTGGGAAGATCGTAATTTGACATGATAATTCATTTTTGGTTTTTTTGAAACTTGTATTTTCCTATGATGAATAGCATATACTGACAGTGTTTTATGGAAGAAAAGACGCTCAACTTTCTTGATTTAAAGTTCAAGAGAGCCAAATAATATACCCAGTGCAGCATGAAAAGAAAAATACCTGAAGTTGCTAGTGTAACTCATGAAAGTCTTTTTTTTTTTCCTTTCTTTCTTTCTTTCTTTCTTTCTTCTTTTTTTATTCTCATCAAGCTTGTAACTAACATTGATGTTTGGGTGTTTAAGCAAGAAGAATGTTGGTTTTATAAGGGATCTATTGAGTTCTTGTTTTCTTAAGCAGCAATAGTCCGGATCACTGTTTATTTTTTCAATTTGAATTGTTACTTTATATTCCCTCCAATAAAAGCTGTATGTTTTCTCATTTTCCCATACAGCTGTGGATTTCTGTATGAAGACCAACTTCATGTACAACTAGCTGTCTGTTATATTCAGAAAAACTTGGGAATATACTTAGGTTCCACCTAGTGTACTAACACCAAAAAAATTATTTAGTCACAAAAGTTGGTAGAGAAAATGTTATTTTAACACCTTGGGCTTCTACAAGAGGTGTTTCTAATGGCACTGTGAAGAATCCAGCAATTAAGAAAGGCATTAAATTCAGTTAATTATCTTCCAAACTGACAATTTTTGGGTAAGGTTCTAAGTAATACCTTTAAATGAGTGACTAAGATAAGCATGTCTATTGGTAGTGTAAAATCTACTTCCAGTTGCTGGAGGGAAATGGAAAAAAGTTTCAAAATCTTAACTGTTGAGACTAATTAAGTACATATTCATAAAATAGATGAGAATGAGTTTTTGATTTCAAGTATGTCTGCATTAATTTTTTTCAATGGTTTTCTTCAGTGAGCACTCACTTTGGCATTGCACTGGTTCTTTATTGTATACAGAAGCTGTCTCCCCTCACATGTTTTTAATAACTTTCTATAGACTAAACCACGGGATCAGTAAAATAAAAGGCCTCTTTGTTCATGTACTATATCATTAATTGGGGTTTATACACTTCTGGTTTGGCAAGCAGAAAGTTTGAGCTCCCTGGATGTCAAGAAATTAGAAGTTTACAACAAGAACAACTGACTCACTTGTCCTTTCTGAAGAAGCTGGGAAGCCTGCTCTCATGAAACAGAGATCCAAACAGTTTAAACTCCGTTGGCGTTTCATTGTTAATGTATGTGATGTCTGTTTCAAAGCTGCTTTGGCAGCTTTGTAGTAAGCCAGGTAGTCAGCTTGTCATAGTGTGGTGCATTGCTAAAGAGCGTTCCTGCTATCTAATCTATGTATTAGTAGTTTGGAGGTCAACAAAAATCTCCACTGAAGGATTTTACTTTCTGGCTGGAGGAGAAAGTACTGTTAAAGGTTGGTTATCGAGGCTGGCTCTGCTAAAAATAGCAGGAGAGACAGCAATAATAATAAAGTGAATAACCGGAGCCCGTGCTAGGATAATGCGGGTAACAAACACAATGTTCTGAGGTTTTCTAAAATGCAGCAGACTTTTGTCCCACATTCCAGTAATTTATTTGAAAGGCATGTTCCACTTGAGGATTGCCAAGAACTTCACAAATACTAAGCCTTTTAGCATGTCTAAGGTATGTGCTGTGCCATTTTGAAAACAATTTCGTAGGCAAAAATTACAGCTATGTTTTTTCCAGAAGCTTGTAGTCTTTAACGATACGGTTTTCCTTTGGAAGTTCAGGGAAGCTTCAGGCACTTCAGGTATGAAAGCTATTGTAGTTTTTTTTTAGGTTTTTTTCTTTTTTTTATCCCAGACCAGTTTGTGAACTAAAAGTAGTTTTGTTTTCAAATCTAAATATTAGACATATGTATTTCTAGGTTGAACTTACTGTATGACACATCTCTAGATTTGTAGCATGTTGTCATCTATGGTAAGTTCTGAAGTCTAGTTGCAAATTATGCTTTTTAGAGATGTAAAAATTACAAAACTTTAAGATAACTGTCAATTAACTTCGTACAGATGGAAGGCAATGTTTCTGCACAATCTAAAGACGAAAGTGGAAACTTAAGACAACAGACCTAAATAATAAAGGTATCACGGTTAAGGAAGGAGACAGTGCTTGAAAAAAAAAAAAATGCCTATATCCTTTAAGTCAGACATGTTAAAATGGAGTATGCTGCAAGTGAGACAGAATGATTGAGTAGAATTGGAAGGGGGTTTTATTACCCTGAAATGTTGTGCTTGAAAATTAAATAAATAATAATGCTAGAAGACAGGTGAAACACCTAGATTTGCCCTGAAGTAAAGGGAATATGTTTCAGTGAGATGCAGAGACTGGTAATGGAAGCATTATGGAAGAAGGTCATCAAAATCTTTAGGTGATGAGTAAAAGTTTATGGTACACCAACAGATTTAGGAAAGAACAAGTTATTGAATCTTTCGCTAGCTGGAAAAATCAGGAAGATTAGAAATCCGGAGGCTGCACGTGCTATGCTGTTAAAGACTCTGACAGTTCTCTCATCTGCCTATGCAAAAATGTATGGTCTTGTTATATTGTAGATTTTTGAAAAATGACATAGGTTCATCCATAACTTTTAAAAACGTCATGTCCTCTGGATTTTTGGCTGTATTTCTGCACACTGGCAGTGATGTGTCTTCTTGTTAAATGACCCATACAATATATTTTCCTGTCTTTGTGAAGCTTTGTAAAAGCTTTCAAATCATAAGTGAAGTTGAAATAACTCGGTATATATTCCAGGAGTCCAGGAAGAACTCAAGTAAAGTATTTTGACTGTTCACAGTGACTGTTGGCAAATACTGAAATTACCTAAGCCGCTTAATGTAGACTATTTAAAATCTTAATTTCTTTGGCAAAAATCAATGATCAGAAGTATACTGTACAATGTTACTGTGTATTGTCAATCATTAGCTTGAAACTACACCAGGTAGACTGGAGAGAGCTGGACTGTGAGGTTGCTACATTCGTAGTCTGCTCCTAATTAATGCATCTGAAAAGTCTAGACATCCTAAGTGAGGACAGAACCTTCTACGTTTTACCTGTTAAAACTAAACTTTGCAAAGAGTGTGGGTCAACAGTATTTTTCAGAGGTACAGCTTAAATTTTAGCATATTTTCAGATGTGAACAGGCATGTGGGGGCAGGGAGGGTACCAGATTTCAGGTTTTTCCTACAAGCATGAGACTGCTGGAATAACTAAAAAGTCCAAAGAACTTCTCATAGATGAAACTTGCTTGGTGCTTAGTTCTACTTTTGCGAGAGCTATACTATCTTCCTAATTTCAAAATTTTCAGTAAAGGCCTGCCTTAGATGCCTACCTAGGCTTATGGAAATGGTCAGGCAGTCTTAATAGGAAGGTTTTTAAACATTTACTGAGATTACAATGGAGTTTTTTAATTGCTTAAAGATATACTGAGGTAATTATTTTACTGAAACAGCTAAAGGAAACGTCTCTACTTTTTGCCCTTTAAAACAATGTTTCTGTTAGAGATACTTAGGATCTCAGTCCTGACACTGAACAACTTTCTCTTGCTTGACTATCACCTGTCCATTTGAATTTTAAAAAGGTGGGGGAGAGGCTTGGTTAAATACTTTTTTTTTTTTTTAAAGTTTTGAGAAAAGCATAATTGTCAAAGACTGAGTATTGGGGTTTATCGACTTGGTCTGGTCAGAACAAGTTTTATTATCTGTAATTTAGAGTATATTCAAATTCTTAGAAAACAGTAACGTGTTATTGGGTTGGGAACAACCTTTTTAAAACACACTGCAATTTTAAATGACTGGCGATTTTATTTTTTGTTTATTTTATTTTCCCTAGACTCGAGATGATTTTCTTGGGCAAGTGGATATTCCTCTTCATCAGTTACCGGTTTGTGTATATATATGTTTTTTTTAAGCCTGTAAAAAGTAAAAGTGATTCTGTGTGCAACTGCATTACATACTGAACCATACTGATCTAAGTGGTAAATTCTCTGCTCCTTTTTTTTTTTTTTTTAGTGTTGGTATTTTTTAAAAA